TTGACAACAAAAACACTGTGGTTGATTATAATATACTAACATTAAAGATGATAAATACAGAATTAATGCTCTTTTCAGAACTAGATTTTGGTTTTTATGGGGTAAAGTAGAAATGATGCATCACCGCAAGTCATCCAGGAGTCTTCAGTGAAATCATAGATAAGTAACTGTTTTAATAAAAACTTAATAATAAATTTATGTCAATATTAGTGGTTGTGAATATCAATTTTATGCAGAATGATTATTGATAAAAGTAGGTAAGTAAGTAATGAAGATTGGAAAAAATGTTCACCCCAGAACTCAAACCTCAAATAATTTTATCCACTATACCTTTTGTCTAGAAAGCAAAGATGTTTGGATATATGCGTCTATTTGTTAGCAAAGGGTTGGGGAAAGTATAGTTTGTCTTTATTTAGAAAATACGGATGTTTTGCTCGTTAATTTTCCTGTTGGAACAGTTTAGATTGACCATGAGGTTTTGGCGCAGATCTACTTTCGGCCACCCCTCAATATACACTTGTTATTGCCTGGCCACCCTTATAAACATTTTCTGGCAACGCCTCTGCTCAAATTACATTTTAAATGAAGTAATTTTGTACTTTTACTTGAGTAAATTTTGAGATGGGTAATTTTACTTTTACTCTGAGTAGAATTTAGGCAAAGTAAAGATACTTTTACTCTTTCCACCTCTGAATATTTCACTGTAACAAAAAAAGAAAAAAGATCTGTACGAAGCCAATACTTTGACGTGGCACTGTGAGGGTTAATAGAAAACAAACAATGAAATATTATAGAAATGTCTAGTAGAGAAACAATAAAACAAAGAGAATAAAAGTGAGATCATAATATCACATAAACCCATGAGTTGAAGCTGGACAACTCAGACAATATGCTTTTTATTGTGTCACAAGTCCAACTGCTGGGTAATGCAATCTAAGCATTATGAATTACTCAGGAAATGAGCGCTTGTCCTCTGGATCTCCTCAGGCAGCTTTGCTGACTAAAGACTTTGTGCCTAATATATGATACACTTTATGCTTTAGCATTGGGCCAAAGCTGCTGAAACACAGCCTCGGTGATGGAAGGCTTCACAGAGTTGGGCACAGGATAGGAAACATTTTTGAAAACAGGAGGAGAGGCCATTACACAACACAAACCTGCAGGGGAACGCGTAGGTTGAGAAGCAGCATGTTTCTCAATTAGATCACTTCATAGCTTGGTTCAGTTCTGTAATTTTTTTTTTTTTAACAGGTTTACCGGTATGTGCTTTTCAATTCAATCAAAACAAAAAAGAAATAAGAGTTACTTTGGGGGCCATAAAGAGATTAGAACAAGCTCTGAGAACGAGGCCGTCTGATAAGGTGCACTGTATCTACCGCTGCCTCCTCTTGTTTTTCTGTCTGGATTCAATTAAGAGGTGCACCAAAGCCATTACTGCTCTTTTAGCCCCAACCTGCTGATACAAGATTTTAATCGGCCGCTATCATCTCCAAAGGGCTATAAAAGCAGAGTAAAACCGTCCCACACGTGCTAGCAGGCACTTTCTCTGCCTCACACAAATACGCACACATAAATACACCGGGACTACCGGTTAAATTTTGACGAACATATCCATTAGTTGCCATAGTAACATAGACAAAGGTTAAACCCCCGCAGCCAGATGACACCCTGTAAAAATCGCTGCAATCTCACCACTTACTGGCCATCTTTTTAATTAAAAACACCCAGCTGTCTGATTCCAAACGAGAGCTTTATTACACTGTAACTGCTGTGAGGAAACTAATTATGGATGAGGGGAAATAATTAAAGGCTAATATGATATATGAGGAGAAGTCTTTGTTTGGCGTTGCATTCAAAGACTGCAGACCTTTTTTTTTGTTTTGCTTGTAATCAAGTTAAGCTTGTTAATATCTCTGTGAAGCTCTCCAAAGAGCATTTGTTTATCCACCAAAAGACATAATTAATATGTAGGAGTAAGTATAAATGATTCTTTTGCAGCTGTGAAACCGGTTATGAAGCACTTATAAGCATCAATACACACGTACAGTATCAGGAGGATAATTATCATGGTGAGTTTGGGCTTTTAATCATTTTGTTAAAGAGAGTCTATTTTTTATGATAGAAATATAATGAAAACAAACTAAAAACGGATCATTTTTAGGAAGAAAAACCGGGTGCAAACATTTTAATAAAATCAGCATTCATCCATCTATCCATTTTCTGTCATGTTTAATCCCAGTTGGGGTCGCGAGGGGTGCTGGTGCCAGCTGTCTACGGGTGAGAGGCGGGATCCACCCTGGACAGGTCTCCAGTCCGTCGCAGGGCAACCCAGAGACAAGCAGGATAAACAAACACTCACACCTAAGGAGAATTTAGAGAAACCAATTCTCCTAATAG